TTCTTTACAAATCCATGCTGGCTGTTACCTATCACCTTATCTTCCAGAATTCCTTAATTATTTGCTCCATTATCTTCCCTGGCACCAAAGTTCAACTGACTGGTCTGTAGTTTCCTGGGTTGTTCTTTTTTCCCTTTTTAAGATGGGCCCTAGATTTGCCCTTTTCCAGTTCTGGAATCCCTCTTCTCTTCCAGGACTTTTCAAAGATGAGAGCTAATGACTCCGAAATCTTCTCAGTTGGCTCTTTGAGTATCCTGGGATGCATTTCATCAGGCCCAGGTAACTTGAAGACAGCTAACTTGGCTAAGTAATCTTTAGCTTGCTTTAGCTTGCTCTTTTCCTATTTTAACTTCTGAATCTGCCTTATTTTCACCAGTATTCACTACGTTAGGTATCCGATCACCATCAAACTTCTTGGTGAAGACTGAAACAAAGAAGTCATGAAGCACTTCTGATATTCCTACATTTGTTATCGTTTTTCCCTCTTCATTAAGTAATGGGCCTACCCTGTCCATCATCATCGTCTTGCTTTTAATATATCTGTAGAATGACTTCTTGTAACTCTTTATGTAACCTCTTGTAACTCTAACTTCTAGGTTGAGCTGGTTTTGTGCCTTTACCTTTCTAATTTTGCCAGGACATACTTTTGCAATTTGTTTATGTTAATCTTTTGTAATTTGACCTAGCTTCCACTTTTTGTAGGACGCTCTTTTGATTTTTAGATCGTTCACGATCTCCTGATTAAGCCTCAAATAAAAATAAATATTAAGACGACCAAAAAATGCCACCATGGCTAAACAACGGAGCGAAGGAGGTAGTAAAAAAAACCAGCTGTTAAAATTGGAAAGCAAATCCTACTGAGAAAAATAGAAAGGAGCATAAACTCTGGCAAGTCAAGTGGAAAAGCTTCATTAGCCAAGCCAAAAAATGACGCGAAGAGCAGCAAAGCAAAAAAACCACCAAAACGAACCATTGTTTTTCAGAACATCTGGTTGATGGAGGTGCTAAGGGAGCACTCAAGGCAGGAAAGGCTTTTGTGGAGAAGTTAACATCATTCTTTTCATCAGTCTTCCCTGCAGACGATCGGAAAGATTCCCGTACCTGAGCCCTTCCTTTTAGGTGACACGTCTCAAGAATTCCCCCAGATTGAGGTGTCGTTAAAGGGAGTTTTGGAACAAATAGGCCAACTGAACACTAACACGTCACCAGACCCAGACGGCATTCACTTAAGAGACTCTCATATGAAATTTCAGAAGGACTAACTGATATGTGATAGAAATGTAGCTGTGTTAGTCTGGTGTAGCTGAAGCAAAATGCAGGACAATGTAGCACTTTAAAGACTAACAAGATGGTTTATTAGATGATGAGCTTTCGTGGGCCAGACCCACTTCCTCAGATCAAATAGTGGAAGAAAGTAGTCACAACCATATATATGCAATCTGTTCTCTAGACAGCTTTTGTACCAGATGACTGGTGGTAATTCATGGAACTCTGATTTTTAAAGAAGCCTCCAATCTTGGAAATTACAGGTCAGTAAGCCTAACTTTAGTTTCAACCAATTTCACGGGCAACATAGTAAAGAACAGAACAGTCTGACGTGCAAATATACACAATTTGTTGGGAGAGTCAGCATAGCTTCTCAATAGGGAAATCCTGCCTCACCACTTCATTAGAATTCTTTGAGGGGGTCCATACACACATGAACTAGGGCGATGCAGGGCATATAATGTGCGTAGACTTTGAGAAAGCCTTTGACAAGGTCCCTTGTGAAAGGCTCTTAAGCAAAGGAAACAGACATGGAATGAGAGAGAAAGTGCTGTCATGGATCAGTAACTGGCTAAGAGACAGGGGAAAGGGTAGGTATAAATAGGCAGTTTTCACAGCAGACGGGTAAATAATAGGGCCCTCCAAAGATCTGTATGGGCATCAGAGTGGTTCAACACATTCATACATGATCGAGAAAAAGGAGCAAACAATAAGGTGATAAATAATTGCATATAGTTTGAAAATTGGAAGGTACTTAAGTTCCATTCAGACAGTGAAGCATTGCAAAGCAATCTAGAAGACCAGCAACAAAATGGCAGATGAAATTCAATGCTGACAAGTGAAAAGGAATGCACTTTAGGAAACATAATCCCAACTACATAAACAAAATGAGGGGGCTACATTCGCTGGTACCCCCTCCCTCCCCCCCAAGAAAGATTCCGGTGCCATCTTGCATCGTTCTCGGAAAACAGCCACCCAACGTGCGAGTCAAAAAAACCGACAGGAAAGGGACAGGTGAAAAGACGGGACATATCCTAGTGACACGATATCCATCCTGCACCTTGACTGCTGTGCCATTCGCTGGCCCCTTCTCAGAAAAGATGGAAAAGTAGAGAGAAGGGCAGCACAGATGATCAGAGAACAGAACAACTTCTGTATGGAGACACGTTAAATTGTCGGGGATGTTTTGTCTTAGAAGGGAGGCAGCCAAGGGGGTTTTGGGCAGGGGACTGGTCTCTGCCAGCCCTAGGGTTCTAGGGTATGACAGAGGCCCATCAAATCATGACTGGTGTGGAGACACTGAATAAAGAAGCGTCATTTACCCCTTCACATAACACAAGAACAAAGTGCTCCCCAAACCCAACGGCTAGGGAGTAGGTTTACACCAAACATACCAAAGTACCTTCTTCGCACCACACACGGGGACCCTCTAGAATTTGTTGCCCAAGGATGCTGAGAGGTATAACCGAGTTCAGAAAGTTCCTGGAGGATGCTCCGTTAGCCACGCTGGCCAGGGACAACCCCCATTGGGTGTCCCTGAACCTCATGTTGCCAGAAACTGGGACCGGCTGACAGAGGATCAATCCCGTGACAATGACCCTGCTCGGCTCATCCCCCCAAAGCACCTGGACTGGCCACCGTCGAGGGCTAGATGGACGACTGGTCAGACCCTGTAAGGCCGCGCTTCTATACGTACACCCGGCCAGGGAGAGAGAAACAGACTCCCTGGCTGGGCAACAGGAAATCCCTCCTGCCCAGGGACGGCCTTGCCATGAGGTGAACTGAGGCTGCCGTCTCAGGAGAAAAGGTGAGAGGGAATAACAGAAAGCAGCAGGAGCTGAGGGGAGAGAGAGGAGGAGGAGCACCGTGAGAGGAGTAGAACAGGAAGGAGGCAGAATTGAGACCTTTCAAAGTTTTGGCCCAAGTGAGGGGCCATGGGGGCATCATTTGAGCTCCCCGCCTCAGGTGTCAAAATGTTGTGGGCCGGCCCTTCTCCTGCCCTAGCACAGAGAGCGAAGGAGATCCACGCAGAGCCTCTCACGCGGATGAGGGAACGCCGTGCTCCATAGCTTTGTGACGGGACTGCGACGTGCCGAGGGCAATCAAGAAGAAAGGCGCCAGTGAGAGCCGAGGGCCTATCTGGGCTTAAAATGCTGCAGTGACACAGCGGCACGAGTGCTGCGGCAGGAGGTTTCCATGAAGATGCTAGAGAGCGAAGGAGATCCACGCAGAGCCTCTCACGCGGATGAGGGAACGCCGTGCTCCATAGCTTTGTGACGGGACTGCGACGTGCCGAGGGCAATCAAGAAGAAAGGCGCCAGTGAGAGCCGAGGGCCTATCTGGGCTTAAAATGCTGCAGTGACACAGCGGCACGAGTGCTGCGGCAGGAGGTTTCCATGAAGATGCTCGCGCAGTTACGTGCTACATGGGCAGGAGGAGCTCTCCCTCTCCCCCCCGTCCAGGGCCGTGGAACTGCAGGGGGTGGATTTCCCCACCCCGGAGAGACGTCGGTCCTCCAGTGTAAGTTTACGGCATAGACTTGACCCCAGAGATTACAGAGGCGTGACCGTAACACATCCGTATACCTTCCTCTTAGCCTCCCCTCCACCCTGCCCTCAGCGTGGCTACGTCGCCATCTCGGTATCCCGAAATAGCTATTCCGCGTCTTTTGGGCGCGCCCGTCGTTTCGGAATCTCACGGGCACGCTATTCCGACGTCCCTGTGCACCTAAGAGCGGGGTATTTCCTGCAGACCATGCCCCAGGATGCAATGAGCTATTTCCAGCTGAGTGGATTTAAGCTCTGCAATGTGCGCCGCTCAGACGCCGGAGCCGATTTCGAGCGCCGGGCGCAGTGCAGATGCACCCTGGGTGAGGTGGGCTCCCTTAGACTCCACCAGCCCCCGGATGGAGCTGTGCGCAGACAGGAAGTTACGAGTCAGTGAGCTCAGAGGGCCTGAGGGAGTCGAAGTGGGCGCGAGGAGCCAGGCCGAGGATCTGAGGGAAGGTGCAAGTGACACTCCTGTGGATTTGCTTCCAAAAGCCCTGGCCACATTCACCTTCCCCCCTCGGGCTCCTCCTCACCAGCTTAACTGGCCATCCCTGTCGGCAGCACCGTCCTCTGCCCTATGGGAAAGGGGAAAAGGCCCCAGGACTCCCCAAGAAACCAGACTCCCCGCGGAGGTCTGTACCTTCCTGGACCACCCAAGAACAAGGCCTCTTGGTCCTCAGCCCACACGTCAGCAGGCAGAGTCTCCGGATGCCAGGAACTCGATGGAAGGAGCCATGCTGGGATGCCAGCCCTCTCCCAGAAGAGCTGCCCTCGGCCTCATCTGTTCGGAGCCCTATCCCCCCCCACAGCCGAGGCTGCAGGTGCAGAAGGGACGTGCCTGCTGCTCCAAGCAGCCTTATTTCTGCCTGGACACCCAGAGGAGACTCCACAGGGTCTTGAGAAGACCCCACTGGGCAGAGCGGCTGCTCCTCTTCTCCACTGCCTCTCCTCCCCGGCTCAGACCTGGAATCCCAGGCCAGGCCGGCGTTTTGGGGGTAGGGGGTCTCTGCAGGAGTGAGCAGCCCCTAGCTTTGTAGCTCTCAGAGTGCTCCCACCCTGCCACTGTCCCTGCTCCTCCCTCAGCCTCCCAGCACCTGGGTCGTTGCCATTAATTCCGAGACTTCCCACGGAGTGCGCGTTCCCCAGCTTGTCGCAGAGACACGGGCCGGCCGGGTGCTGCCTTACCTTGGAATTTCTTCTTTCCAAACTTCCACCCAAAGAACGGCATCCCAAGAGCTCCTTTCAGTGCAAGTCCATGAAGCGTCTGCAGGAAAGGAGACGGTTATTTGGCACCGGGAGTCCTGACACCGCGCAGGAAAGAACGTTCTGCAGCCGTCAAGTGGAAGAGCCAATTCCTAAGCCATCTGACCACCGGCTGCAGTTCTGTACATGGTGGGTTTCGTTACTTTGTCATCGCCAAATTATGCTGCAGAAACAAGGGTCACTCGTCTGGGATACCGGGAGCCAGTTGGTTCCTGATCCGACAAGGAACAGGTCAGGTGGAGACAGGGCCTTCCTCCCTTGGGCCACCAACCCTCATGGACAGTGCCTTGGGGGGCACAGGTCTAGCGTGAGGCTAGGACTCTTAGCCAGTCGCCTCCTTCAAGGGAGGACCAGGCTGGGTGAGCTCAGCTGAACTTCTTCTGCCCACGTGATGTTACGCTGCACCCCGTTTTTATGAACAGGGATTTTGAATATGAATACAGTAATTCCTCATTTAACACGTGCCCACTTAACACGTTTTCGCGATAGCATGATTTTTTTTTTTAGGGAACGTTTTTTGAATTACACGACCGTCCCTGGAATAACATGAGTTCCCCAGCTGGCCCATTGACGGCAGCTGCACGGGGGTTCCCCCGCCTCCCTGCAAAACGGTGGAGGGTTTGCCGCTCGCCCTGCTGTCCTCCAGCGACCCCCCCTCGCCAGACACAGTGTGGGTCCCGGCAGACCTGTCACAGGGGCATACTCCCAACCCTCTCCTCTCCTTCCCTTCCCCAGAGCCAAACACCTCCCCTCCCTGCTGTAACCCAGTCCCCTTTCTCCCCCAACCTTATGTCACTGTCTCAACAGACACCACCGCTTGAAATGCAACCCCCATTATTTCCAGTAGGCAAACTGACCCCGCATAACACGTTTTCACTTAACACAATCATAGACATCTGTCAGGGATGGTGTAGACGGAGCTTGGTCCTGCCTTGAGGGCGGGAGGCTGGACTCGATGACCTCTTGAGGTCCCTTCCAGTCCTATTATTCTATGATTTTCTATAGTGTTAAATGAGGAATTACTGTATGCATAACTCAATATTCTTATTCAATATTCATATTCATACTCAAGATATGCTTTATGCAAAACAAAGCAAGTAAACTAGCATTCAAGAGCTTGAAACCTCCCGAATGTGTATATTCTATTTGTGTGATTGTTCCATTCTTGTAGGTGAAGTTAGAAATATGAAATGGAAACTTGTTATATTAATCTCAGGCTTCTAGCAAAAGCTATTTGTGGCACTTAAGGAATATAATGGCCCGGTGCTCAAGACAAGAATCTGTGAATCGTCTTGTTGATAATCGCACATCATCATCTAACCAAACAATGAAGGTGCCAATGGTTCTTGATGTCTGTGTAGTATCTGGTGTTAGTCCTCTTTCTTTCCTAGGGCAAACTAATGGCTCTTATCAGCCTCTTTTAACTATTTAGTCTTTAAGGTGCTACTAGACTGTTTGTTTGGGTTTTTTTTGTTTCGTTTTTCCTGTTACAGACTAACTAGGCTATCCCTTTGAAACTTATCTACCCAATGTCCTCTTTCACCCCCCCCCCTTCCCTTATTTATTCTTGGTTCTGGACCTCCAATACTCCAGTCATCTGAAGAAGCGAGCTGTGTGAAGCGTGCAGCGGCCGGTGGGCAGAAGCAGCCGGGGCGCGGAGGGAGCCATCTCGGGCTGGCATACAGAGCCAGGGCTTCCCTAGGCGGCTGCCAGGGTCAAAGGCCAAACGTTTCCAACGTGGGTGCCTAAGGCTGGACACCAGAGGCCCCGTTCAGACACTTGGTTGGCCGAGGCTGCTGAGAGCCGGGATGGCCACGGAAGCCCACGGGCAGGACGGGTTCTCAGCACTGCTGAGCTGGGATGGCAGCTTGGGGAGATGGGTGACTATTTCGAGGCGTCTCCGCTTCCCCGTGCGCTTGACGGGTTTTGCCGATGGCTCTCAGGAACCGAGCGAGCAGGACTGCCTGGGACTCCCCGTGTTGGCATGCAACCACCTTTTCTAGACAATGGCAACTAGGCAATAGCCACAAGCTCTCATGATTTAGCGCAGGGGTGGGGAACCTCAGGCTGGGGGGCTGGATGCGGCCCCCAAGGCTCAGGGCCTCTCCCCAACATTGGGGAGCCCCTGTGGGTGCTCCAGCCCTGCTGTTGCCTTCCTGGGGACTGGTGTGCCCCAGGTATACTAGCCTGCCCCCCCAGGCACTGGTGGGTGAGGAGAATGTGGGGAGGGTCTTTTTGCTGCTCAGCCGGGGGCCACAGCGAGGGATGTTTTCCTGCTTCTCACTCGTGTGCGGCCCCCGGCTGATTTTGCTGCAGGTCAGCGGCTCCTGACCCAGGCAAGTTCCCCAGCCCTGCTTTAACGGGAAATGAATCCTCCAGAGACAGGGTGAAATACACAGTCGCAGCACAAAGCCCATGACGGCCACTCTCCCTGCTGCAAGGGTCAGCACCTCCAGTCTCGGGACAACGCCCATTGCCCTAAGGTTTCCTGCGTGGTTCAGGTTTCCCTTTCGTTCGTAGTCAGAGCTGCCCTGCATCCCAGGAGCGACCCAAGGCCCTTTGCCCCCCTCCCCACGGTGCACATCCCGGCCAGTGCTGCGCCCGATCTGGGAAAGCCTCAGCTGGTAATTGGTCCCGGCTAAGCTCATGCTGAGACGGACGCCTGCCCTGATCAGACGCCTCGCCCGGAGCCAAGGCCTTGAGATACGGCCGCCCGGCCTTGCAGCCCTGCATCCCGACGCCAGCACTGCTCGCGAAGGACACGCCAGCAGCGGGGGCCTCAGAGAAACTTCTACGCGTATGAAGCTTGCCCAGAATTCTCCTCGCTCTCCCCACTGCTCAGTCTCTTGCAGGGAAATCTAACCGGTACCGGATTTAATACACGAACTAACGCTGCGTTCACAACACGGACCGGTAAAGGAGAAAATGCAAAAACCGGGCTGAAACATTCCACATTCCAGCCACAGTCTAGTCCTCCCCAGTCCAGTGTGTGAGCCCCTCACAATCCTCACAGGCTCTCCAGGACGTGGCTCTCCCCTTGCACAGGCAGGGAAGCAGGGAGAGAAGAGACCAAGCGTCTCGCCTTTGGTCACATGGGAAGTTTGTGGCAAAAATGGAGAATTAAATCCGGACCTTCTGAGCCTCAGGCTAGCGACCCAACGACTGGCCCTCCCTTGCCGAGGCCGGGTTCAGTCTGGAATAGAGCCCAGGTGATGAATTCTGCTCGTAGGGCTCTTGCTGGAAGTAGCGACCCAACCTGAGCACTAGTCGCACCCACTGGCACCTTGAAATATTTCCTGGAAGCCCAACGAGTTTTCCTCGGAATAAAAAAGCTGGCAGCCAGACAGCTCTGCTGAGGCTCCGAGAGGGGCCAGCCCCTTCAGCGGTTATGTTTTGAGGAGCACTTCGCAGCCGAAGGTTTTCACTGATCCCTTCTAGCGGGGGACTCTCCTCCGGCCTCGCACGAGCCGTGGGACTAACCGGACTCCCTGTGAGAGACAGGCCTCTCGCACCGCTCTCCGCTTGTGTGAGCTAGAGCAGACCTTAGCCTGGAGGTGAAAGACCTTCACTGCTAGAAATCTGAACCTTCTCTCCAGGCTGCATTGGCCTCGCTTCGGCTGCCAGCCTTTGCAGACGTTAGACCCTCCCTGGGCGGTGCGGGAGGGTAGATCTAGGGCAGGCAAGCCCCCAGTCCCACCCCTTCTGCCCAAGCCCCCAGCACCACGGGCGGTGGGGTGGCACACGGCCCCAGCCTTAGCCCTAAGGGGAGGGAAGAAGGCGTGTGACCCCAGACCACCGGCGAGGGCGCACGGCCCCAGGGCTCCGGGGAGGGAGGGTACTAGGGGCAGCAATGCTCCGCCCCCGGTAGATCTAGGGCAGGCAAGCCCCCAGTCCCACCCCTTCTGCCCAAGCCCCCAGCACCACGGGCGGTGGGGTGGCACACGGCCCCAGCCTTAGCCCTAAGGGGAGGGAAGAAGGCGTGTGACCCCAGACCACCGGCGAGGGCGCACGGCCCCAGGGCTCCGGGGAGGGAGGGTACTAGGGGCAGCAATGCTCCGCCCCCAGGGGCATTCTGGGGGCAGAGCGTGGGCGGGGCCATGCCTGGCGGTTTGGGAAGGCAGAGCCCTCCCCCGCCCTAGCTACCCGCCACCCCCGAGACTCCTCTGCATGCCTATATCTGGCCACAGTAAAATGCATTTGGATTGCTCGCGCCCCGTTTCCCAAGTGCTCCGGAAGGCCCCATCGCAGAGCTGCTCCTTGGGCAGCCCCGGTCTTCATCCGGAACAACGTTATGCTTTCTTCCAAGTCGTGGATAAACGCGTTAATTAGCAGAGGGCCCGGAACCAATCCCCGAGGGAGACCACGAGAAACACACCCATTGCCTGATGATTCCCCTGTGCATTATTACATGTTGAGACCCGTCAGTCAGACATTTTCTAATCCATTGAGTGGGGACTATATTAATTTTGCAAGGTTATTTTTTAATCAAAATGTCAAGCGGTATCAAGGAAACTCATAAAACCGTATCCACATGAAAAGGGCTAGAGCCCGACAGGGTGCCAAGGTAATCGCTGGGAAAAGGAGTCAGTCGCTTATCTGTCACGGTTTAAAGTAACGACCACAAATCAACCATCAGTTTTCATATAAAATACTCCCCAAAGTGGCGCGCTGGGAAAGCAGTACTGATCTGCACGGGACGCAGGAGGCCGAGCTAGCGATAGTTTTCACGTTACTTCTTACCAGCTGTGGAAAGGGGAGCTTGCAGAAAAAAGCAATCGGCGTTTTCCTCCCTCTGCAACGATTCAAAGAGCAGCAGAGTTTCCCCAAATAGTCTGAAATCCCACAGACCTCGGCTGACTCCACCCAGACATTCTGCTAATTTAGTCATAAGCCTCCCCCCAGAACCAATCCATTTTGGCCAGACTTGGCAAAGCTGCCAGGTCTGAGAACACAAACTCTCCCCAGCTGAAGCGGACAGAAAAACAGAGCAGGGAGAAGAGAATTAAATCTTACCCTTGAAGGCTTTTACAAGTCCCAGTACCGGCTGCTGCCCTCCATAGCACTCGGCTATACGCCTCTCTTCTCATTATACGCGGCTTCCTCCCCTCCCTAGGCCAAGTACAACTTCTCAGATTCTTACACACACGGGACGTGCATCTAAGAAAGCCAAGTTGCTTTAAACTGGGAAGCAAACCCGAGAGGCTTGTCTCGGAAGCTGAAATCCACGGCAGACCCGCTTTGCTCTGTGGTGAGTTGGTGACTAAATTTACTCTTAGTTCCTTACACTGACTTCACAGACCGGACTTGGCGGCTTGCCACATTCTTCTGTCTGTTTTCCCCTCCTGTTTCCTGTAGATAGGGAAAGTGCATTTGCCTCCTTTTAAAAAAGTAAAAAAATAAAACTAAAACTGCCGGTCACACCGTGCTGTGCCGCACCGGACTGGCCAGCCTGGACTGTAGGCACCGTGGCGGCTCTTGCTGCCTGTCCCATGCTAGGGGGAAGGTTTTAAAAAGGGAAACGAAATGGCAGAGAAAAAGAAAACACTTTGAAAAGGGGGAAGCAAAAGGAGGAACTTCTGGTGGGATCCGTTTCCGAGCGCCGGAGCCTGCTCTGTCTCTATCCCACATTCACTTAGCTCTCCTAGGCACAGGGAGCTACCGACCCAGAATTACACCCAGGGCCCTTCTCATCCCGTCTCCCACAGCCACAATAACTGATGCTACAGAGGTAGGTGCAAGAAACCACACAGACGACGTCACAACCAAAGTGCGGGGTTTCCTCCTAACTCCGAGGCTTAGCGGCTGGCCTCCCTCACAGAGCACGAGAGCGGGTGTTCCTCTAGAATCTTACTCCAACGCCCTCTCTGGTCTGAGACACGCTGCCAAGATCCTCTTCCTCGCCCGTCCCCCCACGCCCCGCCTGTCTGCCCAGCCTCCAGGGGATCACGTAAGGTCCTGACTCCCAAGGCCCTTCACAAAGCAGCCCCCATCCGCTGTCCCCCGTCACGCCAGCCTCCTGCACTGAGGCCAGCCTGGGCGGCCCCGTGCCCCCATCTCCC